CTCAGCGACACACCACCTCCTCTGGGAAACAGAGGCTGCAGGAAGGAGGAGGAGGACACTGGGTCCTGAGCAGGCTGCCACCAGGGTCCCCAAGTGCCTTCACAGCCTCATTGATTCCTCCTGGCTCCAAGATAAACCCCAACCACCGGGCAAGGCACATGGGGTCCTTCAGGCTCTGACTGGTCCAGTCCCCATCGGCCATTGACTCGCCAGGCTGCCACTTACCGGGCACTTTGTGAACAGCGAGCTCTCCACACCCGGCACCTGCACATGCTGGGGCCGGTCCCCCTGCCTACATCACCAGGGCTCTCCGGTCCCCAGACTCCCCACTCCCCGGGCTGCCTGGGGCTACTCACGGTGTCAAACAGGCGTGGCCCTTGCCAGAGGGTACTTCACAGCACCGAGCCCATCCCTCTCCCTCGCTCACTGCGGTGAAGTGGTGCGTGTCCAGCGCCGCAGGCCTCTGGGTTCTGGGCTGTAAAGTGAGTTGAAGGTGGACTTGTTTTAATTTTCCTTTGATTTTTTTCTACTCTGAGTACTTGAACCACAGATTGCTATTTCAGTAACACTTTTTAAGTCATTTTTTGTTAATAATTCAAATTTATCTCCCTTTGGTTCCAGTTGTTGAGATGGATGAAAACAGTGGACTTTTACTTCTAGAACTAAATCCTCCTAACCCCTGGGATTCAGATCCCAGGCCCCCTGAAGATTTGGCTTTTGGGGAAGTGCAGGTAAGGAAACAGTAAAGTTTTAATATTCTTAGAAATAAAACAAAAATATCCTTCATGTATATTCAGGGAAAAAAATACAAAACTTTAGAACAGATCCTAAAGGAGAACCATACAAAACTACTAGAGGAAGTTTAGAAATTAGCTGGATGCCAAATCCTCCTCAGACAGAATGGTGTTTTAGTGTGTTTTCTGTCGCTATAACAAAATATGCAAGGCTGGGTAATTTATACAGAAAAGAGACTGACCCATAGTTCTGGCAGTTCAGGAGCCTGAAGCTGGCATCTGTTCAGCTCTGGTGAGGGCTTCCTGATTGGATGGCAT